CAAACCCAAACGAACTCCCTCAGCATCCAATCGCTCATTGAATCGCAGGCTGGAACCTTCTTCACCAAGAGCTTTCGAGCTTCTGCTATTGAAGAGAAATCATCTTGCAACGCCCGCAAGACTGTTTGAGGCTTCATGTTCTTGGGCCTTACTATTCTTGGCGCACTGCTCAAAAACTATAGGAAAAAAGAGTAAACGGGCCTTTTAAAGAACATTAACTTACTCTCGAAACGCGGGAAAGTAACCCTCAAAGAATGCTATTCCTTCCGTGCACACTTGGAAAGCGAAGCAAAAAGATTCAGTCCTATCATGGACATGCGATCTCTACAAGTTACAAATCTTCGGATTGTAGCATCCTCTTAAGAATCACCGAGGGAGGCAGGCAAAGCTCTTGAGAAAGCCTTGGCAATGCTAGTGAATCCGAATCCTTTGCAACTTTCTTCTCCTTCTCCACCGTAGACAGCAAACCTTTGTCTTTTAATCGCCAAGCAAATCGTGCAGCGGCTTCAATTTGGACGTTTCGCCGAAGGCTGTGGATGAACAAATCGCTTACGTCATCTGGCTTTAACCCGGTGGTCTTGCAGACTTTCTGGCGAAATGCTTTGTTCTCCCTGCTTGTTAGCTGTCGGAAGTTGAAGTCCTCCGACATCATAAGATGAAGAGCTTCTTCTTGCTCCAGGGTCAGGCAAGGAGATCTCTCCTGAAGTGACTGGAATGTGAAACCTTTAGTTGCTTTTCCACATGCTGGATCCTTACTCTTTCAAGATGAAGCGCCTCCATTGGACCCTTTATGAAACCCAGAACTTAGGAGCTTCCACCTTATTATAAAGCTACGTGCCATATCAGTTACCTGGAGGATCACATATCGAAGCAGTTGACAATTGAGTCGATTCTGAAACTCCCTCCTGCAGCCAGTGCAATTCACAAGTCGGGCTGGCTCTTGTTCTGCTCCGCTGTCGCAGGAATGCTCCAAGCAAGGCGAAAGCCCTCACGTGTGTACAGCCCAAGGACCAGCATTCAAACCACTGGCTGCGGCTGAACCTCTGAACGGCTGGCTGCCGGCGAACTGTCGATGAAAGGGCTACCGGCGTTCCAGAACGAAGCGGAGCTGGCAAACCTTCCATGAGGAAGCGAACCGCAAGGATCGCAATGTCGCCATCGGCTCGTCACTTTTGAAGACATCGCAATGTACCTTTTGCTACATCTTTCTACTCATGAGCCCAGTCTTATTTTATTCGTGTTGGGCAGCTCTGTTGAGAAGTGAAATGGTCACCGAGCTTGGACAACCCCTCTCATGTGTTGTTCGACTGTGCGATCTCAGTTGCTTTGACAACTCCGTAACTCCATGTCATATCCGAAATGGCTAGAATCCATTATCATGGAGTTCTCGTTCATTCATTAAAATGTTCATTCATTCTCGTTCAAGGAGCTGCCGTGATCCGGGGACAAAGCAGGATCTCTTCAAACAATTTGTATAAATACGTTTGTCATGTGCATGTCTATATGCTGGGGTGTATTTCTAATAGTTGAATAGTTGATTTTCAAAAAATACCGATTTCCCTTTAGCTTACCTTGTTCCTTCTGCCACCCCCTTCTCAGCTGATGCTTCCATAGGGTGGATCTTCCCTTCACATTGGTCCTTGGTACAATGATGTCATTGTAGCTCAAGTACTGACAAGATGACAAGTGAAGGATGTTGATGTCCCTCATTGGGTCTAAACAAGCCAAGTCTAAAGCCCTTTGGATGTGTTGTTTCATGTTCTTTCAAATCCGTAGGGTAGGCAACAGTTGCTGGAAAGGATGTTCACCAAATGCTCTACCACCGACATCCGGATAGGACTGTGAGTCACTGAGTCGATATTAATGGAATTGGCATAAATCCAAGCACATGCATGAGTCAACAAAGCCATGTCACTCTCAGGGTAAGATTCTACTGGAACTAGTTCTGACTGCACTTGTGGGTCAGTATCGGGCAAGTCCAGCATCCGTTGGTAGTTGGCTGAGTTAAAGGATGTTAAAGGTGCAGGTTGTGGGAGATTGAATTTACTGACTGTTGAATTAACAGTAATCAAGATTTCATCACCCCTGTAAAGCATCCTCCATCTATGCTTCGGGCCACTTGCCTAACAATCCTGACTGAAGTCCGGTAGTCATCCCGCAGCCTTCTTCCTCATGACAGCGCGTGCAGAAGCAAAGAGGCAGCCAAGCTGAAGCATCAGAAAACCATCACCAGCTGCACTGAATCCTTTTTAGTCAGCTTCAATCACAGGATCATA